TATGCTGATCTTTGTGTGAGAAATCTTTCTCTACCTGTGCCTCGAGCTCCTAGTGAGTCTCCACCCTAACAGTAAGGGTTGGTGAAGATGTGAAGCAATGTGGGAACTCTTACCCACTGCTGGCGGGAATGCAAATCAATACAACTATTTTAGAAAGCAATTTGATGTTTGAATACCCTTGAACTTTTGCACACCTTTGAATATCTGCATGCCCTCGACCCAACAATTTTACTCCCAGTATATTCCCTAGAGCTTTACTTCTCAAAGTTCTGGTGAAGGGCCAGTTTTGGTTTTGTTTTAATTTCCAATGTGTGGATGAATACACTATTGTAAAGTACTACAAAAATGAATTACTAAAAAGTAGAATTTAAAAAGATGCACAATATAAAAGTCCTGCTATCTTATTATTAGATTCAACAGGCAAAATTACTTTCATGTACCAAGGAGACATGTACAAAATGATCCTGGCATATTTTGTAATAGTGAAAAACAAGAAGTAAGTCAGATGTCCATTGACGGGAGATTGGAGATATAAATTGTGGTATAATCACATGCTGAACTATCACAGAGTTGCGAAAATAAAGAAACCACAGCTCTATTCAACAACATCAATGAAGTCTCAGAAACAATTGTGAGAGAGAAAAACAAGCTTCAGAAGATGCTAATATACTTTTTTTAAAAAAGCTTTACTTAAGGATAATTTACATAAAATTCACCCATTTTAAGTGTACAACTCAATGATTACTGGATTATCTAGACAGCTGTGCAGCCCTCACTGTCATCTAATTCAGTAGATTTCTGTCCTCAGACTTCCTTCCCACCCTCAGCCCCAGGCAGCCACTAATCTGTCTCTATAGATTTGACTTTTCTGAACATTTCATAGAAATGGAATCTTACAACATGCAGTCTTTTGTGTCTGCCTTCTTTCACATAGCATCATGTTTTTCGGGTTCACCCATGTTGTAGGATGTATCTGAACTTCATTCCTTTTTATTGCCAAATAATCCATTGTGTGGAGAGACCACATTTTGTTTATCTATTTACCCGCTGATGAACATTCGGGTGGTTTCCACTTTTCCGCTACTTTGGGGGACGCTGCCTGGTGTGCAGGTCTTTGCATTGACATGTTTTGATTTCTCTTGGGTTCATACCTAGGTGATACCATTTTTATAAAGCTCTAAAACAAGGAAAAGTAAGCAGTGTGATAGAGATACATACAAAGTACTGAAACTATTTTTTTTAAGAGGAGAGAATAATACAGCATTCATGGGATACATGTGGGGGTGGGGGATGGAAAAGGGAAGGACATAGCTGGACCCGTGGGTAGTGGGTTTAAGGGTGTTCACTTTTTATTGTGCTTCATAACTGACATATTAGATATCATATGTGTGAGATACATAATAAGACATTTTTAAAAATGGGAGTCTGTCTCCAACGCTCTGACAATTCCACTGGCTTCGGATGACAAGGTCTCCACGGGGGCGGCTAGAACCCTGCTCCGCACTCCCGCAGCCCCTCTGCAGCTGTGCTGGCTCCTTGTGGGGCCTCAAAGCGGGACCCGCCCACAGGTGTCTGCAGGGCTCCTGGGGGCTTCGCTCAGGGCTCCACTTCCCTGGCCATCCTTGGTGGAACAGCCCCTCTGCCCACCCTCCTCCCTTCGCTCCCTAATTCCTGTTTTCGTGCACTTTTCCACGTAGCAGCTGCAACTCCGGCACACATTTGATCGCTTAGTCTGTTGCCACCCCCAGACCGTGAGCGGAAGGTCGGCTCCCGTGGGGGCTGGATTCAGGCGAGCGCATGGCCTCATCCCCAGCGCGTGGGGGTGCCTGGAGGTAACCCCGGGCTCAGTAAGCACTTATCAATTAACTAAAGAAGCCAAGCTTGTGACTAGATGGAGCGTCCTAGTGCTGCCAGCCTGAGCTGCTCTCTTCCCCTCCGAAGGCACAGAATATGAGGCTGGTCCCCCCTGCAGACGCACTTCCGGGATGGATAGTTTCAGTTAGAACAATTTCCAGGTATGGAGAATAGTTACCAGACTCTCAAGAGCACCTTCAAGGACCCCTAAAGGTCCAGGATCCTAGTTAGAGGCAATAGGGCTAGGTGAGCCTTGAGTATTTTGCAAAGCTAGGCCTCCAGGTATCCATGGCAGGGTGCTCTCCTGGGGTCTGGGGATCGCTGTCACCAGGGTCATAGTCCAGACCCCAGATGGATATGTGCAAAGGCATCTGGGTGTGATGCTAGAGCCCAGGCGGTCTGGGCTGGAGGTGTGGGTGGGGACACTGTCTCCAGCCTTGTCCCACAATCGAGCACAGTCTTAACTCTAGGGCCACACTGAGCAACCAGCACTTGTGGCTATGGAATGTCTCAAATGTGGCTACTGGGACTGAGACACTCAATTTTAATTTTACTTAATTTTATTTAATATAAATTTAAAAACGAAAGCAGTGTAAAATATTTTTTTCCATTAAACACAACTTTATGGCCTTGGTAAGACAACATTTCACTCTGTTGAAAATTTAGTGTCCAAATTGAGATGTGTAAAACATCAGATTTTTAAGAAAGCGCACCAAAAAAATGTAAAATATCTCATTAATAACTTTGATGTTGATTACATGTTGAAATGATACTATTTTGGATATATTGGGTTAAGTGAAATACATTAATATTAAAATGAATGGTACCTGTTTCTTTTTACTTTCTTAATATGGTTGTTAGAAATTATGGAATTGTATATGTTGTTCTCATTAGATTTCTGTTGGACAGACATTTCCTTCATCACAGAAAGGTCCACTGAACAGCCCTGGTCTAGAGTCTAACAAGCCGTACTCACCTGGGGCTCCAGAAAACAAGGCAGACTCAGTCTCTGGCCCCCGCCCCACCTGGAAGAGACAGGGTTTCGTGGGGAGCTGTACCATGTAACAAGCCATTCTAATGAAGTGTCACCACGGGGAAGATGCCAGGTGGGGCTTCCACCCACCCTGGTATCAGTTTGTTCCAGGTCCGGGAGGGGGATTAGATTATTTCCCAACCCCTCTGGAAGCAGTGGTGGAGGCTGTTCATTGCTGACTCCAGTCCTGCAGATGTTGTCACAGTGCCACCCAACTAGACCCGAGCATGAACCAGCAGAAGCAACACCTGCTTTACCACTCTTCTGGACAGGGTTCTCAAGAGCTCTTTGGAGGCAAAGCTGGACTCCCCCAGAAACCTGCCTTCACCTGCCTTCCCGGTCTCTGGTTACAGGCTTAGCCTCGCCTCCTTCTCTGCCAGCCCAACCCCGTTGGACCCCATTTCCCGCTCTCAACACCCCCCCCAGCCACCACCAGCAGAGAGACTGCTTCCTCCCAGAAGACAGCAGCTCGCTGGCACACAGGCACAGGCCCATGTCCCTCAAGTCCTGGAAAGCCAAGCCTCCAGGTGGCTCCCAGGAGAGCCCAGGCCACTGCCTCACCCTTGGTAGGGCTGCTCCGACCACGAGTGTCCATCTGCTTAGCCAACCCTTAACTGCACCCATGTCCCCTGGTGTCCACTGGCTCTCTAAGCCAAGTTGGGGGGATTTAGGGGGAAAGTTGTGAGGGAAACCACAGGGCAGGAAGGCTGGAAAAGCAGCCAGGCCCAGGCCTCCCCTTCACTTCTCACCCCCCACAGTGTTCAATGACAAGCCCTGCCTCCTCCCCCTAGGGCTGGGGATGGCCACCTTCCTCTTCTCCCCTCTACCCACTCCTGCACACACCCCTCCCCTGGCACCATGTCACCTGACAGCTCTGTATGATCTCACCCGGGTATGCCTCACTGGGGTACGTGGGGTCACAGCCTCCTGCACATGATGCTGCAGGGCAAGCCACATGGGGCCCTTAGCCCCCTGACACCACCGCTCCCCACACACCCAGAAGCCCAAGTGATGCCCAACGGCCTCCAAGCAGCCAAAAAGGCTGGGATCTCCCAAGCCACTGTCACTGGCTCCTTCCTTGCTGCCCCGTCCAACCTCCCACGCCCACCCAGCAGGCATCCGCTGGGGTCAAGGGTCCCCCCACCCTGGGGGACGTATGCTGTGATGCTGAGGAGTTAGCCTCACAAGCCCCCTGTGCATGCAGAGGACAACATTATCCTCCCTCCCCCGTGCTTGTCACTTTGAGGGACACGTGGATGAGACAGGAAAAGACTGCCAGGGAGTGTGGAGACCCGAGATGAACCAGCAAGCCACTCCGCCTGAGTTGTAATTTTTTCATCTATAAAATGAGGGAGTTGTTCGAATCTCTAAAGCTTTTTGTAGCTCTCCAAGCCTGCCAGTCGATGGTTCTAGGACTCCATTGGGATGATGCGTGATTGTTTCCGCCGAGCGACTGACAGCGCGTGTCGTCGGTGGGAAGAGGGCAGGCGTGCCAGAGCTCCTGCACCTCCATGGCCTCCCTCCCGGAACAGCCCCTCCATCCTTTCCTCCTTTGCTCCAAGTCCCCCGCCCCACGCCTCAGGTGAGTCGCCTGCTCTGAGCATCTGCAGCTCCTCTCCAAGGCGCCTACCAGGACACCCAAGCTCCCCCGCCTGCGCAGGCGACATCGCCCTCCCCCTCCTAAGGCCTAGAGAAGAAGCTGGACCGGGTACCATTAACCCCGTCCCGGCCGCACCTGCGGACGGCTCCCCCAGCCCGGCCTTGTCACTCTGGAGCCCAGAAAGGCCTGGGAGGTGAGGCCGGCTTGGGTGTCTCGGCAAACTGCGGCGTCCTTCATCTTCAGAGGAGAGGGAATCCCCTTCCCAGTGCCCTCCGTGGGAGCCTGACCCGGCCCCATCCCGCCACCCCCGGGCTGCACCTCGGCCCCTCCCCGGCTGGCGCCCCTGCCCGGGGCGGGCCAGGAACCTCGGCCTCCGCCCCGCTCCTTCGGCCCGCGCGGCCGGGGACTTTGGAGCCGAGGAGGAAGCGCGGCAGGGCGGGGAGGTGGGGGTGTGTCGGGAGGCGGCGGCGGCTGGGTTTTATAATCCGCAGGGCGGCCGCCGCGCGGGAGAAGGGGCAACGCCAAGCCACGCACCGCGCCATGGGGGCCGCGCCGGGCCGCCGGGGACCCGCGCCGCCGCCGGTGCTGCCGCTGCTGCCGCTGCTGCCGCTGCTGCTGCTGCTGCCGCCGCCCGCCGCCCCGGCGCTGGACCCCGGGCTGCTGCCCGGCAACTTTTCCGCCGACGAGGCCGGGGCGCAGCTCTTCGCGCAGAGCTACAACTCCAGCGCCGAGCAGGTGCACTTCCAGAGCACCGTCGCCAGCTGGGCGCACGACACCAACATCACCGCCGAGAATGCACAGCGCCAGGTGGGCGCCCGGGCCCGGGGGGCGGGGCGGGCCGCGGCGGCCAATCACGGGCCTGTGGCCGGGCGCTGGGGGGGTGAGGGGGCCGGGCACGCGCCCCGGGACCGGCCGGTATCGGGGTCGCGCGCTGGCCTTCCCTCCCCCATCCCGCGTCAGACTGGCGATGGGTGCCCAGCACCTGGCTGGGCGCACGCTCCGCGCCCTAGACAGGAATTGAGCGGATGGGGCTGGCTCCTCCGAGACCGAGTCCCCCAGGAGGCAGCGCCCTGGGATGCGGCCGGGGCAGCCGCACTCATCGCAGAGGATGCCCCGTTCTGCTCTGGGACCTCGACCCCTCCGGCCACTGCCTACCCACCCTCATCGTCCCTCACTGTCTGTTCTGCCTGCCTCTGTTCAGGCCCCAGCTTCTGCTCCACTGCTCCCCTGAGGCAGATTCCTCCAGGTCCTGCCCTGAGGGCCCAGGAGGAGGGGCACCATTTCCTGCAAATTCCAGTCTCCAGGACTGGGATCTCCGCAGACAGAGCCAGGGGTCTGGAAGCCCCCCGGCCTTTCTCCCCTCCCCAGCACCGTTGCCTCCCCTGTATGACGCCCAACTAAGCTGGGTCCTCCCTACACCCTCTAAGCCCTCCTGGTGCCCACAGGAAGAAGCAGCCCTGCTCAGCCAGGAGTTTACAGAGGCCTGGGGCCAGAAGGCCAAGGAGCTGTACGAGCCCATCTGGCAGAACTTCACTGACCCAAAGCTGCGCAAAATCATCAGAGCTGTGTGCACCCTGGGCCCTGCCAACCTGCCCCTGGCCAAGCGACAGCAGGTGGGCCTGAGGGTGGAGGCAGAACTGGAGGTGGCAAGAAGCGGCCTGGCAGGGAGGGAGGGACCCCAGGATCTCTGTGAGCCCTGGCTGGGGGAGCACAGAATGGCTTCCTGAGCATGGATTTTCCTTTTGGAGAAGGGGTGGGAAGTTACTTGACATTAAAGCAAATATGATGGAGTAGAAAGCCAAATGCAAGTCATTTCTCCCTGGGCTGGTTTGGTTTATGAGCCTCCATAGTAAGGTTGAGGAGGACTGAGAAAGCACCAAGGCCGGAGAGTGAGAGAGACTCGCCCTAGCTGCAGGGTGGTGGCCGAGCTGGGACCTGACCCCTGACCCTCAGGACTCTTGCAGCCACCTCCATAGGATGCCTCCCCTGGAAGGAGAATCAGTGTGTTTGTGATCAGAAGTGACCTCAGTGCCACTGTGTGGCCTTGTGCAGGCCACATCCCCTCTCTGGGCCTCCTTTTCCTCCAAGCAAAGAGAGGAGGGGGTGGCCAGACTGTGTCTGGGGGCTTCTCCACTAACGTTTCCTCACCTCTCACTCCCAGTACCTCTCTCTGCTAAGCAACATGAGCAGGATCTACTCCACCACCAAGGTCTGCTTCCCCAACAAGACTGCCACCTGCTGGTCCCTGGACCCAGGTACAGCCCCGCCGCTCCCTCCTAGCCTTTCCCCCACCGCCCGCTGCTGAACTGGGGGGACGGATTTCCGTAGGGCCTGTGGAGGGGGCAGGTAAGCCCAAGGCATTGACCTGCACTTGGGGCTGGGCTGTGCAGACGCACCCTGCTTCTGGCACACTGACTTCCGGAACCTGCAGCCCCCAGCCCCACTGCCATGCGTGCTGCGGACACCACTAGGCCTTCCTCGCGGCTGCCTGGCCTTCCCTTACATGGATCCTCTCACTTTCCCCAAGAGCCCTCCCCAGGCCTTGGGTCCCTCGTGGCTTTCCCTATACCCCACCCCAACCTATACCCCACCCTGACCCCGTTTACGAGGCAGCCTTGAAGTCAGCCGCTCCAAAGGCTGTCTGGTTTTCAGCCTTTGGATCTCCTCTTGGTGTCAACCACCTTAGACCCTTTCTCTAGGGACAGGGCCCTGCCTGGGTGTTTGCATAGCTCCCAGCCCCATCCTGCCCAGCCTGTAGGTGGCCTTGGCTTTGGGGAGCTGTGATGTTGAGGAGGCTGGGGCGTTGGGGAGGCCCAGCGTGGGTGCTCCAGTGAAGGCCGTTGCAGGCTCCAACGAGGAGGCCTCCTAACTGACCCCACTTGCCTGCGTCCCAGAGCTCACCAACATCCTGGCTTCCTCAAGAAGCTACGCCAGGCTGCTGTTCGCCTGGGAGGGCTGGCACGACGCTGTGGGCATCCCGCTGAAAGCCTTGTACCAGGACTTCTGCACCCTCAGCAACGAGGCCTACAGGCTGGATGGTGAGCAGGCCTTGCCACCCAGGAGCAGCAGCCCTTCCCAGCTGCAGGTGCCCTCTTGCCGTCTGTCCCCACTGGGCCCCAGCCCTGGAGGCAGGCAGAGCAGCTGGTCCGATGATTCCACAGCCCAGCCCGAGTCTCACAGCTCGTGGAGGTGGGACCTGGCCTGCACCCATCATGCCCCCACAGTGCTGCTGGCTACACCACGTGGCCCTCCTGCTGCTTCTCCTGGGTCTGGTTCCCCTCTTTGCCTCTAGTACTCTCCAGGGCCTATTTAGCTGGAGGGTGGAGCAGCCCTAGTTAGAAATTATAGAGCAGCAACCCCCAAGCCACCCTTCCCAGGTGGCTAGCAGACACCTGGCCTCAAGCAGGCCGAACAGCCACGCTGCAGCTGAGACGGGAGGTGCCGAGCCTGGGGCTGAGCCGCACGCCCCCCTCCTATCCCCCCTCAGGGTTCTCAGACACAGGGGCCTACTGGCGCTCCTGGTACAGCTCACCCACCTTTGAGGAGGACCTGGAGCACCTCTACCAGCAGTTAGAGCCCCTCTACTTGAACCTCCACGCCTATGTCCGCCGTGCACTGCACCGTCGATATGGGGACAGATACGTCAACCTCAGGGGACCCATCCCTGCTCATCTGCTGGGTAAAGACCTGGCCTTGCCTCCACACAAGTCCCAGGGAAGGTGGGCCTGGGGGCGGGCGTGGGCAGACGTCCAGGGTAAGGGAAGGTGGATGGTCCTTGTCACATCTCACATTTGTGGAGCGTAGCCCTGCTCACTTTCCCAGGCAGGAGCCCTGTAGCTGGCTCAGTGCCGCCATGGAGCAGGCAGTTGTCACCCTTATTCCTGTTCCTGCTTCATAGATGGGGACCCGAGGCTTAGGGGTGTGAGTGACGCAGCTGGCAGAGCTAGCAGAAGGCAGAGCTAGGAGTCACACTGAAGGCTCTGGCCCTGGGTCTGGTGGAGGAGGAACCAGTCCTAGTTCATGCCCCAGGAAGCAAGCCCTGTGGGGACCGGGAGGCAGGGACCCGGCATAGTCAGAAAAGACAGCAGCAGCATTGCCTGGCCATTGCCAGCTCCAGGAACATGGGGTGCTCAGAGGAGTGTGGGTGGGACCGACATGGGAGATTCCTGGCCCTGAGCTAAGCTGCTGCCCCAGGGTCCCCGTGTCAGGCACCCAGGGTGCCACTCAGTGACACGCATGAGGAAGCAGGCACTGCCGGGCAGGGAGCCAAGCGGTCCTGCTCCCTTCCTCCATCCAGGAGACATGTGGGCCCAGAGCTGGGACAATCTCTACGACATGGTGGTGCCTTACCCAGGCAAGGCCAACCTCGATGTCACCAGTACTATGGTGCAGCAGGTGAGCTCTGGGGTCCACAGGTGGTGGCGGGGGGTGGGGCGGACAAGAGGAATCAGATGGGTGAGAGGTAGGAGGGGCTGCATGATGGGGGCAGGGTGGGGCCAGGCCCTCCCATCTGCAGAGCAGCAGTGGAGTGTCTGTGCAAGCCGTGAGCTGGGGTCTGCGTCCTCGGGGTGGGCCAGCCCCTCCTGCAGGCCCCGTGGTGGCAGGTGGAGCAGCAGTGGTCAGCCACGGCCCCACCTCTGGGAAGGGAGGCCACAGTGCAGAAGCAGCTGCCCTATGTGGGGGATCCCAGGCCTGTCCCCACAACCTGTTCCCACACCCACCGCCAGGGCTGGAACGTCACGCACATGTTCCGGGTGGCGGAGGAATTCTTCACCTCCCTGGGGCTGTCACCCATGCCTCCTGAGTTTTGGGCCGAGTCGATGCTGGAGAAGCCGGCCGACGGGCGGGAGGTGGTGTGCCACGCGTCGGCCTGGGACTTCTACAACAGGAAGGACTTCAGGTCTACACACGGGAGGACCAGGGCTCTGGGGCCCCGGGCACAGGATAGCTGGTTCCCAGGCCTGCCTCTACCCTGCCCTGGCACTGGCAGGGGTTGGGGCTATTCCAGGCCTGTTGGGCATACGAGGCCCAGGAGGCCACCTTCCCTGGCAGCTGTGACAAGTAGTCAACCCTGTACCTTGGGATGGAGGAAGAAGGCCCAAGTGGTGGTGGGCAGGGCAGGGTAAAGGGTTTACCTCTTTCCACCGCTTCTTCGGGCTCCGGGACAGCACTCTCCTCATTGCTATCCAGCAGGCGCCAGCCTCCGAGCTCTGGCCCCTGCCCTGCCCCATTCTGCACGCTCACCTGTGCACTCTCCACGCCCCAGGATCAAGCAGTGCACGCGGGTGACGATGGACCAGCTGTCCACGGTGCACCACGAGATGGGCCACGTGCAGTACTACCTGCAGTACAAGGACCAGCCCGTCTCCCTGCGCGAGGGTGCCAACCCTGGCTTTCACGAGGCCATCGGGGACGTGCTAGCGCTCTCAGTCTCCACTCCTGCACATCTGCACAAAATTGGCCTGCTGGACCGTGTCACCAATGACACAGGTACGGAGGAGCAGAGAGGACTCGGCAAAGCCCCACCAACCCCACTGCATCCTGCAGTAGGACCTCACTCACCCCACAAAGCTCTGCCCTTCTCGTTTCTGCCTCCTGGCCCCAGGTGGGGCAGGGTTTGGGATCCAGCCAGCCCCTCGCAGCCCACCCTGAGCCCAACTCAGCACTCCCTGAGGGTCCTCTTCCAAGCAAGGACCCGGCCTCGCTCCCCGGCGGGCCTCGCCCTGTGTGCGCCTGGCCAGCCTCACCTCCCGCTGACTCCCAGGCCCGCCCTCTCCCGCCTGGGCCCTTCTCCCTCTGACCTCTCTCCCCACATCTGGTCCCACAGAAAGCGACATCAATTACTTGCTAAAGATGGCTCTGGAAAAGATTGCCTTCCTGCCCTTTGGCTACTTGGTGGACCAGTGGCGCTGGGGAGTCTTCAGTGGGCGCACGCCTCCTTCCCGCTACAACTTTGACTGGTGGTATCTCCGGTGAGAAGAGGGGCAGAAGCGGCTTGGTCCCCTGTGGCACCTCCTGCCTCAGGCCCTGGCACCTCCTCTGAGTGATGACACCCTGACGACCCCACCTTCTCCTCTCCTTCCCAAAGCTCCCCGCTCCAGGAAGTCTTCCCCGGGTCCCCGGGATGGGGAAGGTTGCCCGGTGGGAATGCCTTTTCTGCAAAAGCCAAATCAGTCTATGTGCAACCCCTAGGCCCTAAGACACTTAACCATCCTCTTCTAGGACCAAGTATCAGGGGATCTGTCCTCCAGTTGTCCGAAACGAAACCCACTTTGATGCTGGAGCTAAGTTTCATGTCCCAAATGTGACACCATATATCAGGTACTATTGCCTCTGCCTCCCACCCCAGTTCTGTCACACCTGCAGCCCTGTTCCCCTCCTCCTGCAATCCCCAGAGCTTGTCCTCGTGCTCTTCCAGACCCCCAAGGGCCTGGAGTCAAAGTGGCCCCTTCTCCTGAGCCAGGCTTCGTCCTCCCTTCTCCCCCAAGACAGTCCCTGTTTCAGCCTCCGCCCAGAGGGAAGCTGGGTGCTGCCTGGGTAAGAGACCCTGTCCCTGGACCCCTTGATCTGTCCTAACACCCATGCTGTGCCTGCAGGTACTTTGTGAGCTTCGTCCTGCAGTTCCAGTTCCATCAAGCCCTGTGCAAGGAGGCAGGCCACCAGGGCCCCCTGCACCAGTGTGACATCTACCAGTCCACCCAGGCGGGGGCCAAGCTCCAGTGCGTGGTGGGAAGGCGGGGCAGTGGGGTGGGGGGGGAGACTAGCAAAGGGTGTGCCAGGAGGTGACCGGCCACCATGGGTGGGGCACCACCAGCTGGGCTGATGGGGGCACCTTTCTTCTCTCTCTCATCAAGTATTTATTGAGTGGGGCCTTCTGGCTGGCATGTGGCAAGACAAATGTCCCCTGCCACCCTCACAGAGAGGAGGTCCTGAAGTCATATTGCTTCTGTTCTTGCAGTCCAGTGCGGGGCGGAAGTGGCTGGAGGTGGGGCACGCGGGCCAGGGTCCAGTAGCGGACCCCAGCCTGAACCCCTGTGCCCAAGGCTCCCGCCCTGCCTGACAGGGAGGTGCTGAAGGCGGGCTCATCCCAGCCCTGGCAGGACGTGCTGAAGAATATGACCGGCTCTGACGCCCTGGACGCTCAGCCGCTGCTCGACTACTTCCAGCCGGTCAGCCAGTGGCTGCAGGAGCAGAACCAGCAGAACAACGAGGTCCTGGGCTGGCCAGAATACCAGTGGCGCCCGCCGTTGCCTGACAACTACCCAGAGGGCATTGGTAAAGCCCCTGTGGGGTGGGGCGGGGCTAAGGCGAGTCCCCAACGCCAGGCTCTGGGCCTAGGCTCCTCCCTGGTCAACTCCTCCGGCTGGGCCCCGGGACCCAGGCAGCTCCCAAGGTCATCTGCAGGGCCCTGGAGTGGGGCCGGGCATGTGTTTTTCCTGGCATCCTAGAAAGGGCATGCTCAGACCTGAGGGCCCCCCCCTGGGGTCAGGCTGGCGGCTCGCTGCTTTGTGAGGTCACACTGCAGGCTCCGCTCTTATTGGCCAGGGGCCAGTGGCTGCAGGGCTCTGCTCTCCTGCGGCCATGGGCCACGGTTGGGCTGCTCCAGGACTGCCCAGCCTCCTCTTCCTGCTGCTCTGCTACGGGCACCCCCTGCTGGTCCCCAGCCAGGTGACAAACCACCAGGGGACGACCAGCCAGGCAACAACCAGCAGCCGGACAACAACCCACCAGACAACAACCCACCAGACAACCCACCCACCAACAACAGCCCAGAGCCCAAGAGCCCAGAGCCCAAGAGCCCAGAGCTCAAGTGGGATCATCGGGGACAGGGGTGCAAGGGGGTGGCTGAGGCGGGGGTGGCAGGCGGTGTTGGGAGGTATCCAGGTGAAAGCGCACCTGGAGAGGGCAAGGAGAGGCTTGTCTGTTTCCCTCCGTTCTGTCCCACAGACCTGGTGACCGACGAGGCTGAGGCCCGCAAGTTCGTGGAGGAATATGACCAGACGTCCCAGGTGGTGTGGAACGAGTACGCCGAGGCCAACTGGAACTACAACACCAACATCACCACTGAGACCAGCGAGATTCTGGTGGGGGCCACCGCCAGCCCCACCTGCATGTGCCCTGACACACAGACACACGCACAGCACAGGGTTTTAAGTGGAATATTTAAAACAACCCTCAGTTTCAGATTTGGGTGGGCATAAACTCATGCCTGAACAATGTTTTCTTCATTAACAATCAGTCTCTGGTAACAGAATAATTTGTACATAAATAAGTGATGCTCCAGTCACTTTTTAAAAGACTGAAAGCCCCTGCTTGTCGCATGGCAATGGCTGCAGTCCCCCTGGCCCTGCATCCCCAGCGTCAGTTGAGCACACCTCATGCCACTGCGGCGAGCTACAGTTGGTACTGTCCTGGCCTCAGAGAACTAACTTTCCTGAGGACCTGCCACGTGCTGGCCCTGCTCCTTGGCACATTCCATCTGTTGTCTCATCTGTTCCTCAACAGCCTTGCAAAAGCAGTGCTCTCATTCCCATTTTACAGATGGGACCCTGAGGCTCAGAGAGGCCACAGAGCTAACACCAAGCTGCCTCCATCCTAAGGGCACACATGGTGGGCTTCCCCTTCCCTACCCTGCCCAGATGTGTCTTACGGGACTGCAGGCACCTGTTGAGGGGCACGTACTGCACCCAGGACATGACGAGACAGTCCAGCTTGAAGAGGGTCTTTATAGGCAAAGGCTGCAACTTGATCAAAGTGCCCCCTCTCCGCCACCCCCAGTCCTCTGGCCTCCCCCATGGCGTGTCCTGCTCAGAGGCTGCTCCAAAGCTCCTGGGCCCCACGACACCATCCTCTGTGCCCTCAGCTGCAGAAGAACATGCAGACAGCCAACCACACCCTGCAGTGGGGCGTCCGGGCCAGGCAGTTTGATGTGAACAACTTCCAGAACGCCACCACGAAGCGGATCATAAAGAAGGTTCAGGACCTGGAGCGGGCGGCGCTGCCAGCCCCAGAGCTGCAGGAGGTGTGTGGCGTTGGGAGCAGGGACTGGGCGCTGCCGCAGGAGAGAGCCCAGAGCAGAGTCTGCCCTTCCTGCTGCTTCCTCTTCCTTGGTTTATCAAGTCATGCCATCCACACGCACCTCCAGAATTACAGAGGCAGCTTCCTCGGGGAACACACTCCCCGGTCCCCCACCCCGTGGGGCTGGGGCAGTGTGGGCCACAGAGGGACGGCTCACGGCCTCTCTTCCTCCTCCTGCAGTACAACCGGATCCTGATGGATATGGAACACAAGTACAGCGTGGCCACTGTGTGCCACACCAATGGCACTTGTCTGCAGCTGGAGCCAGGTGAGAGCACGTGCGGGAGGATGAGCGAGGCGGGGGCTGGGTTGGCGTGGGGTCCGGGTGCTGCAAGGTGTGGGTCAGGGCATGGGGGGCAGTGGGGTTCCCTGGCTCGTGGGCTCAGCGTGCGCAGGAAACTCCTTTGTTTTCCTTGCGAGGGGGCGTTCTCTGCCCTCTGACAGCCGGCGCCTACTGCCTGCCATGCCCTGGCTCACTGCACCTCCCTGGGAGCCGCCCTCCGTTCTCGGGCTCTCTGCCCCTCGGAGCAGCAGGACCTCAAATTCATGTTTCAAGGGCTTGGACTCCCAAATGGGGGAGCCACAGGACTCTCTTGCTCCTCTGCCTCCTTCCATGACATGCTATCTTCTCTGCACACACACACACACACACACACACACGCCTCCTACCTTCTCTGGCTTTCTTGGGCCCCTCCCCAACACATGACTGATAAAGAAACTGAGGCACACAGAGTCACACAGCCCCTAGGAGCACCAGACTAGAGCCTGGACCTCCCTCCCTCCACGGCCATGTCTGTCCCGCTGCACAGAGGCGACCGCCCCCCCTTCTCTCCGGGCTGGCTGGCCCCTCTTCTTCTCTCCCCTTGGGAGGAGCTCACCCCAGCACAGGAGTTTCCGCACAGGGATACCTCCCTGCTCCCTCCCCACCCGCCCTCTCCAAGGCGGGGGAGCTAGAGGCATAATTCCATGAGGAATCTCGGCCCAGCAATGGATCTTCCTGGCCTCCAGCCCAGCTCCCATGTTAGAACAATGACAAGTAGTGGGGAAATGGAAAGTAAACAGGAGAGAGAACACTTTCCCAGAACAGGGTTTGGCCTACATGTTGTGGATGTGGGTACACACGCAAAGTGGGGGGAGGCGTGTGCCTCTGAGTGTGCCTGTGTGTGTCCCTGCGTGCACGTGTGCCCGAGTTGATGGGGAAGAGCATTAATGGGAGTGTGGCATTCAGCACCCCCTTCGCAGGCCGCCCGTCATCTAGACTGGGCCATCAGGTCACTGACCCATAGTAAATACAACTCATATCACCAGAGAGCAGATGTGAAATTCTCAAAATACATTTCTTTCCAAACAAAATTAATTGAAGTTACATTCTGTATGAAAAGTAGGTATCGGGTAGCATGTTTGGAAATAGGGGGCAAGAGAGCGAGCCCAGCAACACGGGTCTGGGGAGTGCCGACTGCCTGGCGCCTTCTCCAGGGCCAGGAACTTTCCAGTGGTCTCTGCACTTGACTCCCGCTCTGAGAGCCTGTGCGTCCCCCTGACAGGCAGGTGGTGGCTGAGTCAAGGGCTGGGGGCTCAAGCTGTCTGACCCCACCCCTGCCCCCAGATCTGATAAATGTGATGGCCACGTCCCGGAAGTATGAAGAACTGTTATGGGCCTGGAAGGGCTGGCGAGACAAGGTGGGGAAAGACGTTCTCCCTTTATTCCCAAAATATGTGGAACTCACCAACAAGGCTGCCTGGCTCAACGGTGAGTCCCAGTAGCCCTGGCTGTCTGGTCCCCGACCCCTCAGGTTCCTCAAAGAGGTCCTCTGAGACCCAAGTCTGCAGAAAGGAGGGCCCTGGAGGAGGCAGGGAGGTGCTGGGGGGATGGTCAAGTGTTCAGAGAGACTGGCTGTGTCCCCCCTGCAGGCTACACAGATGGAGGGGACTCGTGGAGGTCTATGTATGAGACGCCATCCCTGGAGCAAGACCTGGAGCAGCTCTACCAGCAGCTGCAGCCGCTGTACCTGAACCTGCACGCCTACGTGCGCCGGGCCCTGCACCGCCACTACGGGGCCCAGCACATCAACCTGGAAGGCCCCATCCCCGCTCATCTGCTGGGTGAGGGCACAGGCCGGGCCTTGAGGAGGGTGAAGACGGCCACAGTAGGCTTGAGGGCCGGGACAGGGCCAGCCAGAGGGTGGTGAGCAGGCCGGGTGGTGAGAAGACTCGAGCCCATGGGGGAAGGTGGCCCAGGCTGCAGAGGGGTGGGTGTGGGCGGGGGCTGCTTGCATTTGGTGCCACATTTGCTACAGACCCATGTTGTGCAAGTCACTACAGAAGACATCTCCACGGTTGGGGAAGAGGTTCCTAATCTTGTTGGGGGGAGACCACATCACCCATCATAACTTGAGGTGCTTGGTCCAGGAGAGCGGGAAAGGGGCCTCCCCAAGAGGCGGCCCTTGAGCGAGCCCTTGGAAGGCGGCAGGTTTTGTCACATGGGCAACATGGGAGGAGAGGACAGGCCAAGGGAACTGGACAGAGAAGAATCTCGAGAATGTAGACCCAACTCAATGTGTGGACCCTCACGTGCCAGGAGTTGCCAACTCAAATGCCCCAAATAGGTGACGTAGGCAGCCGAGGACAATAAGGGATGTACAGCAATGTGGAGGCTACTGGGCTTCTGCCCCTGATGGGCTGAGGGAAGCAGAGAGGCCAGACAAGGCCACAGACCATTTAGGAATCTCAAGGGAGCCCCCAGAAGATGGCTCTGGTGGAGCCAGAGTGAGCATCAGGTCAACGGCTAAGAAACACGAACCCCAGGAAGGGAAGCAGCAGTGACTAGGGACCCCAGGAGCTGGGGTAGAGCCAGGACTTAGCACTCAGCCCCTGCGGGTGGACAATGGAGGAGTGACCAGGCACAGCTCGCTCGCTCTCTCTTCCTCTCCCCTCCATCACTCTGACATGCTCTCGCTGGTTTGTACCTCAGACTTCATCCAATGTCAGCACAAGCTTCACCTCCCTTGACCACAAAAGAATCTTCGCTCCAAATCTGTTTCCAAGCTCCCCCCCATCCGAATAGCATCTTTCTCTTCAGTCCTAGAGAACTGGGCTCTTTTCTTACCCTAAACTCAGATGCATCAGCCCCTTCTGAAGGAGACGGTTGGTTCTTGCCAGAGTTTCTGGCAGGTGGCTGCATAAACCACCCCCAGGCTGTGTGGAGGGGACACAGCAGAGTGGCTGATCAAGAGGACGACCTGCCAGCCTTTAAATCCCAGCCCATTGCTTAGGCGCCGTGGGCCCCTGGGTGGGTCCCATAACGCTCCAGCCTCAGTTTCCTCTGCCATCCAGCTCCTTCTTCTGTAAACAGCTGCTGGTCACATTGGCCTTCACTGCTCATGGACAGCGATGATGACCAGCAAGGGCCTCACCTGTAGCCAGGGCAGTAATGACCTTGTGGATAGGGTGTGAGGATCAAAGATGATGACTGTTAAATGCTTAGCACAGTTTGCAAACAGTAGGTGCTCAAGAGATGCTGGCTTGGTTAGCAGGACTGGGATCTGGATCCCTCTTCCAGCAGGATGGCACCCAGCCTGAGACATCTCTCCTCTCTCTGCCATCTCCCCAGGGAACATGTGGGCACAGACCTGGTCCAACATCTATGACTTAGTGGTGCCCTTCCCGTCGGCCCCCTCGTTGGACGCCACAGCGGCCATGATAAAGCAGGTCTGCGCTGGCCTGGGGAGGGGGAAGCCCTGCTGGTGTGGGAGGGACCCTCTCATTCGGGAGTCCCTTCCAGCTTGGCCCTCCCCCCCCACCCCTGTAGCACAAAGTCTGTCCCCAGAGTCCCCAGTTTGGCAGAGTCCCCTCTTCTTGCAGGGCTGGACACCAAGGAGGATGTTTGAGGAAGCCGACAATTTCTTCACCTCCCTGGGGCTGCTGCCCGTGCCCCCCGAGTTCTGGAACAAGTCGATGCTGGAGAAGCCCACTGACGGGCGGGAGGTGGTGTGCCACGCCTCGGCCTGGGACTTCTACAATGGCAAGGACTTCCGGTAAGTCCCGCTGGAGCCAGGGCCTCGTTCCTGAGCACAGTGGGCAAGGAGATGAGCACAGACGGGCTCCACGGCCACACCCTCAGCCCCAGGGGACAGAGTGGGACTAAGGGTCTGGCTTCTGGCAGGGAAACCCCACCTGCCAAATGGGGGCCTCCTGGAGTGCTTGGTGGTGCTGTACCCTGATCAGTTGCTAAGTGCTCAAGGGCCCCGTCCTGGGCTTGAGCATCGTGAGCTGCCCAGCCTGCCTCCCTCCGGGGCGGCCCCTGCGGGTAGCCGGCCCATCTAAGGAAGTGTCCTGTACGAGAAGAGCAGACACGGAGAGCCCAGACAGGAGCCTAACCAGACAGGGTTCACTGGCCTCTCTGGCCTCAGGCCTTCAAAAGCACCAGGGCCGAGGCCATAGACCCAAGTGTAGACAGGAGCAGTGAACCCTCCCTTTCATGGGGAGCCAGAGGAGCAGCTAGACGGGGCCGGGCCTCGCTGTAGCCAGGATGCTGGGCAGCTCTTCCCCTGCCCTGATGAGCACGGCAGAAACACAGGATTCACCCGAACTGAAAGGCTTCTGGTTAGATCCAAGAGCGAATTTCCTGCAGTTGATCTTGACTTGCAAAGGAGAGCAAGGAGGGCTCCGCAGGAGGAGGTGGGCCTTCCGGCGGGGACAGCTCTGCCGCTGCAGCTCGGGCAAGAATGCTGGTGGCAGAGGGGCAGTCTGCACCTGACACAGGGGCTTTGCGCCCCCACGTTCTCTTTCTCGGGCTCCCTCAACACGTCCTTTTCACCCTCCTTCCCACGGTGCTGTGTCGCGTCCCTGCAGACAGCAGTGGTGGGCCTGCTCTGGGCACGGCAAGGACCATGGGTCCCTTTGCCCAGGGCTTCTCACTGTCCTCTTCTGGTACCCTCTCCCTCACCCCCGTGTCTCCAGGATAAAGCAGTGCACCACCGTGAACATGGAGGACCTGGTGGTGGCCCACCATGAAATGGGCCACATCCAGTACTTCATGCAGTACAAGGACCTGCCTGTGTCCTTGAGGGAGGGCGCCAACCCCGGCTTTCACGAGGCCATTGGGGACGTCCTGGCCCTCTCAGTGTCTACGCCCAAGCACCTACACAGCATCAACCTGCTGAGTAGCGAGGGTGGCGGCTACGGTGAGAGGGGAGCAGGAAGCCGTGGGGGGCTGAGGGCCAAAAGGGGGCAGTGAGCTTGGGGTGGGGGGGAGGGGCCCTAAGTGGGGCAGAGGTTTGGGACAGAGCGCAGGGGAGGAGGGGGCCACCAGCAGGGTGAGCCTGGGAGGATGGATGCAGCACCCAGACCATCCCAAGAGGCAGGTCGCAGGGCCCCCTCCCCTCCAGGCACGCAGCACATCGGGCCAAGCGCTAGGACCTGGCAGGGTGGGGGCATCGGCCTGACGCCTGGGCTCCCTCCCCTTGGCAGAGCACGACATCAACTTTCTGATGAAGATGGCACTCGACAAGATCGCCTTTATCCCCTTCAGCTACCTCGTGGACCAGTGGCGCTGGAGGGTCTTCGACGGGAGCATCAGCCAGGAGAACTACAACCAGGAGTGGTGGAGCCTCAGGTGCTAGGTCCCCCCGTCGGGAGTGGGCAGGGGGGATCTCTCTGGGTGTCTGCACGTGCCGGGTGTGTCTGAAGATGGGCCAGTGTGGAGGGTGTGCGTGGGTGTGCAGGCGGTGGGGACGCAGCGGGTGGCTGGACGTTGCTCCAGACCCTTACGGCCAGGCCCCACCCGTGCTGCGGGGTGGTTCTGGGCTCCGAGCTGGCACTCACTCTGGCCCAGAAGCAGGGCACCTGTGAGGGTTAGGTTCCGAGCTTAACGCAGACAATTTTCCAAACAGGGGTGGGCATAGGAGATGTGGCTGCTCTAGAAAAACACACGCACACTCTGGCCAGCAGCCTCAGCAAAGCACTTGGAGGAAAGGCCAGGGCAATCAGTGGCACATGGTGTGGGCCCTGGCGTTCAAAGTGAGGCCTGCACTACAGGTTGGGGACATTTAAAACCTCTCCCGGCCGGGCGCGGTGGCTCACGCCTGTAATCCTAGCACTCTGGGAGGCCGAGGTGGGTGGAAAGCTCAACGTCAGGAGTTTAAAACCAGCCTGACGCGAGACCCCCGTCTCTACACTAAAAATAGAGAAATTAATTGGCCAACTAAAAATATATACACGCAAAAATTAGCTGGCATGGGTGATGCATGCCTGTAGTCGCCAGCTACTCAGGAGGCTGAGGCACGAAGGAGTTGCTTGAGCCAGGAGTTTGAGGTTGCTGTGAGCTAGGCTGGACGCCACGGCACTTAGTCCCAGCAACAGAGTGAGACTCTGTCTCGAAAAAAATAAAAAAT